CTAAATCTTCCACATATTTACGTTTGTCGGTTCTGATGCTCCTCTTTACTTGTTTGTTAACTTCTGTGTATTCAGCTTGTGCCTTGGCTTTTTCTGCTCTTGTTCGACTGGTATTGATTGCTGCTTTCTTGTTTCTTCTTTCTTGAATCTTATCCAGTGTATCAACAGTGATTCATTCTTTGTGATGGTGCTTCATGTGACCCAGGACCTCATGACATGTTGAAGTGATTGCCTCTTTGATCCCCTTCCAGTTGCTCTCCACAGTAGTTCCTTCTCCATTGAGTAGATCATGAAAGGCCTGGAACTTGTTGCTGAGGACTATCTTGAATTTGTTGAGTTTGTTAGTATCCTGAAGAAAGGCCATATTGAACTTTTGTGATATTGTCCGCCCCGTTGTCCAGTGCTTCTTGAGTTTCAATTTCATCTTGACGACCAGCAAGTGATGATCTGATGCTATATCAGCTCCTCTCTTGGTTCTCACGTCTTCCATCGTCCTCCTGAACGTTTTGTTGATGCAAATATGGTCGATTTGGTTTTGTGTACAGTGATCCGGTGAAGTCCATGTGCTTTTGTGTATGCGTTTATGTGGGAATATGGTGCCGCCTATGACCAGCTTATTGAAGGCACATGGGTTTGCAAATCTCTCACCATTTTCGTTCCTTTCTCCCAGTCCGTATCGTTCCATGATGTCTTCATATTCAGTGTTGTCCGTTCCAACCTTGGCATTGAAATCTCCCATCAGAATGGTCAGGTCCTTTGTTGGGCACTTCTCGATGATTGACTGCAGCCTATTGTAGAATTGATCTTTAGCGTCTTCATTGTGGTCGTTGGTAGGCGCATAGCATTGGATGATGTTCATTGAAATACCCTCTTTCTTTGTTTTGAACGAGGCTTTGATGATCCTTGGTCCATGAGATTCCCATCCTATAAGCGCATTTTGCGCTTGTTTGGACAGTATCAATGCAACTCCTTGTGTATGTGGGGCATTTTTTTCATCATGGCCGGAGTTTATCAGAAGCTCCCCTGAAGCTAGTCATTGTTGTCCAACTTGTGTCCAATGTGTTTCACTGATCCCAAGTACCTCTAGGTTGTATCTTCTCATTTCTGCAGCAATTTGGAAGGCTCTCCCGGTGTGCCACATTGCACGAACATTCCATGTACCTAAATAAGTGGTCGCTCTGGTTGTCAGAAGGGGCATCGGCCTCGTAACGTCCGAAGGAATTCGGCTTTCATCATGAGGCGTCATAATTCTTCTAAATGAAGACCTTCTGACTCCCAGGGCAGAGTTTAAAAGATTTGAATAATTTTTTCTGGTTAGCGTTTTTTAGCGAGTTAGTTTTCTACGGGATGGGGACGCTAACCCCATGCCAAACCCTTCTCCTTTATCCAGGCTTGGGACCGGCAGTAGCCCCCGGAGGGACTCCAGGCGGAGTTAACAAATAATAATGTTATTCTATATATTCAAATAGGTCATAAAGAAAGGGAATAAAACACATACATTTATTTCAATATTGTACCCAGTTCCAAATATTTTCAAAGATATAATCTTTTTCATTGAATTTTCGTAAGTAAATTAAGAATCTTTTCTGTGAACTGTGTGAAAACGTATCAATACTCAATCCTTTTTAAGTTTGATATAAACTGTACATAATTAGTTTACTATCAAGTTACAAGTTTATCGAATATTATTTCTTGATTTAATTTGAAGAATGAGAACATACTTAATGTAATAGTTTATGAGAGGTGCTTTAAAAAATACATGGTTAAACTTATACTATGCACTTGTGAGGACGGCCCATGAGTGAATTCAAGGAAGCTCTAAGAAGCTCGGAAATGGCCGAAGATATTCAATCCATTCATCTTTTGGTAGAATATTACAGAATCTTTACATGTAGCTTCTCTACTGAACAAATACTAAAACCCCCTGTATGCGTATTGGATGACTATAATCATGATTTTGTTTTTACTAAAAAAACTATGTAGACCTGAGGGTTTTGTATCATATTTGACACTGTTTGGAATAGCATTCCTTCCACTTGTCCTCTGTCTTCTCATTTGCGATTTGGAGGGTTCTAGCGTTCGAGTGCTCTATTTGTACGTGGTATATATATATACAATCATTATAATGAGGAATTATCAGGTTTTGTTAGTTAGAAAAAAGACCAGTCTGTTACAGAAAACAATAATAACACTGAGTTGTTCCAACTCAGTGGGTTTAACTTCTTGTGGGTTAGTAGTAGCACACTTTATAAGGGTGCTGTAATAAAATGAAACGAATGACCATTATTTATTTTTATACCTCTGTTAGCCACTACCTAAAATATAACGAATAAAGCTTAAATGATTTATAGTATTTTTAATTTTTAGAAATCAAAGTCTTAATACACGGGTAGTTAGAGGAAAGGTTTTGCTAGAATAATTATAACCAATAAGAACGAAATTATCTGCTCATAACTGTATACCAACATTTTTACTATTATCTCTTTAAATGAGAAAATCAAACATCGTGAAATATTTTAGCTATAAAGTAATCCAGTTGGGAAATCCAAAAATTTCCGTCTTCAAAATTTCTAGAGGCCAAAGAAACATCAGGAAATGTTTTATCTAATTGATGTTGCATAGAAGCTTCAAAAAAACATCTGGGAAATGGGGAATCAAGTGTTATGTTTTCGAATAAATACTCACCTATACCATTAGCATGTTTTCACGAAGTTCCAAGAGTCCAAGGTCACAACTAACATCAGAAATCGACCTTGGAGTAAATCTCTAACTTACATTTTGCGCCATTTCTCCATTGTTCCAATTAACTTGCAAAAGCAGTTTTGGGGCAAGATAGTAATAAGACAGTCAGTAGTAAACGTTTGAAATACTTATTTGAAACAGTTTCTAAAGGCATATATTCTTTGAGAACCGCAAAGTAATTTAGAATTGGATTGGTTGTCAAGGCTAAATGTAAATGTCTTGTCCGATAGAACCTTTAATCACATTAAATATCACCTTACATTGTACCAAGTAATTTGCATAGCCTTGTGGAATATAAGGAGAGCTGAATGGACGAGTTCTACTGGATTTTATGAGGAAGACATGTCTATCAGAATAAAAATTAACAAGGACATTTGGCAGTCATTAACTGAATGTACTTACAACTTCAAAATAATGAGCTATCATGGTTTAGCCGAAAACAATTTAAGGATACATTGATTCTGATTGACTTATTATGTTAGTTCTGAAGTGTGAATTATGAACGTATTTATTTGAACGAAACTTAATCACCGTAAGCTAAATAATTACAACAAAAGCATTGATTTGAATACACTACATGGTTTTAAACCATTGTTGTAAACTTCCATATTTATCAACATTAGAAATCAGTTATTCTACTGGACATTTTTAGTAAACTGCATTTTGTTTTGTTTCTTAGTACATAAAACTATAAACACATTGAATACATATATTCTTTGTATGATACAAGTGTTTGTTGTAATTAACTTTGTTCATGTTTCAACTCCCAAAATACCATAAAAATTATGTTTTTAAAAATATATTTGTGGTTTAAGTCGTAACATCAAAGTTAAGGTAAGCTAACTGTTGAACTCTCGTTGTCTCAAATTATCACTAGAACTAGTAATTAATTATATTGATTTTTCAAATAATTTAAGTGGAAACTTCTATATTCTTCTTAGTATCATTTTGTACATTTATGTGTCAAAGAAGTGATGTTGAATCCATATTAAGAAAAAATATACAATCAAAAAATATATTGATCTTTCAATCCGAGAATAAAAATAATGAGAGCACGCAAAACTGTCAAAAATATGATAAAAATTTCAATAATATAACTGATGATTAAGTAAGTTGATGAGAACGTTTGTTATCTAAAAATTGTGACAAAGTTGATTCTTTTCTTTATCACATTGAAAGATATTTTGATAATCCAGCTTTGAATGTAGACTTTTTAGTTTGCATCAATAGTTTGACATGCCATCAGAGAAGACTTTCTGGATACTTCTCAAACACTTAGTCGAAACGCAGTCGCTCGTATATCGAACTTTAGTAAGTTGCTAGTATATATACTATATATTGATCAACTTCATCCATGGTGTCTTGTTCATTCTTAACATGTCCGATTTCTGTTTAACAACAATACTCCGTGCGCTTGTTATTTCTGGGATAACGCTGCTTTTGTTTTTTAATAAATTTGAACTAAATATTTTAAACCTTCCCATATGCATATGATTAACTTGCTCATTAATAACTTATCATTATTTCTCCTATTTCACATCGACTTAAAACTTCGTTTTAGTAAAAACGTTACTCTCTAAATGCAGCAAAACGTATAGCATTTAGAAATGGATGAGGAGATGTCAATCTCAGAACAACAATCAAAGTTTATCTACGATTCATATATTACAATAGGTTGTTGTAATAATCCTAACTTACACTTTCATTATACAGGGGTACAGGTTTAATATTGACCAGGTCACGCTAAAATATGTCATAACCGATTAATTTTTCAAATCTCGAATTTTAGTGCGCAGTGAAAAGCGAAGTGCTCCCATAGTTACATATTAGACTTTTCATTAATAAATGCAATCTAGTGTGAGTAATTTATCGTCAAAATATTATTTTCTATATCAGTAAATGAATTATTCTTTGAAATGGATAAACATTCAATAGAGAACTACATGCACACGTATTTTATTTTTTATTCAGTTAGGAAGTTTTCTTCGGATATCGTGTCAAGAAACCAGTGTAAGACTTTTGAAATCATTTTGAGTGCTATTATTTCATTTTGCTAGTGTAAATTTTTTTATACCTGATGTTAGCATTATGGGTTGTTGTAACTACAAACTAATCACAGAGTAACTGGACTATTTTTAACGAATATTATTGTCAACCAATCAAATAATTTCAGTTTCTACCAATCAAATTCCTGTGAATAGATCACAGTCATAATCCCATGAAGAGAAGAAATCTTTTTAAATCATCTTGCAACTACAACTATTTTAACATCTAAGCAATTCATTGTTTAAATAATAAATAATAAAAATGATTAAAAACTGACTTTTGTCTCTTAATTGAAATCTACATGCGCATCTTAAATGTTTTCAGTTAATAAATCTATGGTAAATGATATTTAAAAATCGGAAAAATATATTTTATGTGGAAATAGGGATTATTTTACTGTCTGGAATAGGTGGTCTTTTAGCTTTAATTAGTGTATGCTTCAGAGGCTCATGGATCTCTCAAGAATATTTTGATAAAATACATATCCATAGGAGTCGAGATCATTTGAGTAAGTTAACTTTAAAATTTAACAGATTTGAGTTCAATAGTTTAATTTGCATTTAATATCGACTGATGTATTGTGTATTTAATAATGAGTTTGTAGGTATCATTACCAAAGTTTGAGTTGATAATTTTGAATAAATTGAACATTGGGTAGGTTGTTATAAATAAATAATATATTTGTGATATTCCAATGAGTTCAAAAATTAGATTTTCTGACGTTTCGTGACTTGGTGTAAGCCACTTCTTCAGAGAATAATTAATACTTTGTTTCGAATACATTTATGTACTCGGTAATTCATTCCTTGATGTCTTAATTAAAACTTAGAAATGTCTATTGTAAATTTTATTCTTACTTATATGAGTAAACAAATATCACCAAAAGTTTGCCAATTGTATTGTACTAACTACTCAACAGATAAGGAAGATTAAGTACGAAAATACACAGTCAGATGTCTAATATACTTAACCAGTTTGTAATATACATCAAAAATATGTTTAGTTACTATTTATTGACATTAAACAAATTGAACCTTTCCAGTTTCATCAACTGATCTCCGCCAATCATAATTTTCTGTTTAATTTTTATAAAACGTTAACTCTAATTGTACTGTTATCTCTATTGTATCACTTATCATATCGGTATTACAAAGATTTCCAGTCTAAACCACAAGTACAAAAAGTGGATGTAACAATGTAATGAATGTTTGTTTATCGAATTATTCTAAAATATAATCGGACGACTTGTGTTGTTTTTTTCTTTCCAATAGAATACCTTTATAAAAGTGATTTATTGGTAACTGTGTTAATTTAGATCCACCATTAATGATATTAAAAATAATCTACTTTAATGGTGAAATCAATTAATGTTAGAAAATTAAGCGTATAATTCAACATGAATAACGTAATAGTTGAATTCATGAGTCAACTGAAGCTAGACTACCACGGACAACATGGAAGCACTAGACGGCCGTTTCGTCCTAGTGTGGGACTCCTCAGCAGTGCGTACCCACGATCCCGCCTCGCAAGATTCGAAACCAGTACCTATCAGTCTCGCGCGCGAGGGCTCAACCATTAGACCATTGGGTTGGCCGGCATCCAACAGAGTTAATGTTTAACTGTAACATGAATAACAAATTATTCATTAAAATGTAAATATTTTGACAAAATAAAAGAATAATCTTTCAGTTCACACCGTCTAACGATATACAAAACTAATCTTGAAATTATAAGGAATCCCTTAATTGCCATGTTTATCTGTTGTTGTTTTTTGCCTAACAATCTTGAATATTGTTATCAAAGTATCAGACAGCTATTATTTTTCATCTGTCATTTGCTTGAAAATTGCGTCGTTTATAGATTTGGTTAAATATTTGATACCATTATTCTTTTATATTGTTATTCTAAACGTTTACTTTCATACTTTGAACATTTACTTATTAAGAGATGTTTTTCTTTTAAAATCCAAGATTTGTCCCAGTATTTGTTTTTTGAGAAAATATAATTGGTAGTTATTATAATAATTTAACTTTTCAAATAACATATACGTTTTGCATTCGTTCTCTTCTAATATCTACTTTTAAGAAGCCACATGATAAAATATGAGATATCTTGTAGTAAACTGACTACAATTAGTAAGTTATTGTCCTTACCACTTGATAAAAACGTGAATAACGTTTGATCACACATAATTTTGAACAGAGACAATAAGTTAGTTGTTCAGTTTATTTTGGTAACTATTCGAAGGTACGGATGTTTACTGAAGATTCTTCCCATGGAAAGTAGGCTTCGATCAAAGAACTACTGAAAGCCAAAAAAATAGTGAACAACTATTTCAAAGTTTATTCCGTAAGAAAATTAATAGAGAGGTCTCAGACGGTAATTGGTCATTATTCTTTGTACTAATTTCTGAGTTTATCTCTCAATATATTGCTCATCATTTAATGTACAAAATAATTCTTCAAAAACTTAACACAACTTACTTCAATCAACCTTCTCATTAATTAACTATCTGAACTAAAAGAAACTATTAATATTCATTGATGAGCAAATTAATAAGAATCAACAGTGGTGAATACACGTATATCATTAAGAATAGGAATAATAGTAGCTTTTATAATACCATAAATGTTTTAAGAAATTCACGGCACCAGTTGCATAATCTTTTATAACGTTCACAGTTCACATGCTCCATATAGTAATTATTGAAAAAATATATTTTACAAATGTTTTTAATGGCCACTCATTTACGATGATGAAAGTTTTATTTTCCGGTCCAGCTAATACACCATGTTTAGGGAGAATAGGATTCCCACGTGTTTGTTGATTTTCTTTGTAGGATAGATAAAAACGAAAATATCCCGTGTTAATTCTCCATTATTGAACAAACTTTTGTGTTAAGTTATAAAACAAAAAAAACTATGTGAGATAAATGTTACTGATTTTTTAACGAGCTTAAAGTTTTCAAAGAAAAGATAATAATAAAACTTTCACAACACTCGTACTTGGTAGTTTAGTTTACGTCATTATATCGAAGAATTTACCAAGCTTCAATAGACATTTTTACCAGTTATTATCTAATCAAAATAAAATGATTTTGTTATTTCAGATATCTCAAACGTAATCTATAAACAACTACACAAGCAATAAGTTACTGAATGAACTGAATTCAATATAAAGCTCAAAGATCAACCATTTCTCTCTCATACTGGTTGAAACAAGCCAGAAAGACTTATCATAATCATGTTAATGAACCGTGTTTAATAAAAGCACGTGAATTGGTAGATTTTTTTCGAACGAAACTAGATGAACAAAACTATCTTTCGTGCAGTGAAAAAAAATCGTTCTCAGCTGGTAAATAACTATTGGAGTATATATATATATATATATATATATATATATATATATATATATATATATAGTCTTGAGGATTTGAGTTGTAAACGATTTTATTTCCAGTATTAACAGTGAATCGTGTGACTTATTGTATAAATCTGTACCACTGGAGATCATGTCCAGTAAACTGTCAAAAAAGCTAGATATGTGTACACAAATTTCGGTTGATTGTTTTCAGAAATACAAGTAATTTGATTTTCCCCAATAAAAAAAAGAATTTTATTAAAGATGAACATCTCTCTAAGATAAATACCGTGTACGATTAACGTTTATAAATTTAAACAAATCTATTACATAACATATGCCTTTAGGAAAAATTGATAAAAAAATACACATAATTTCAGCCATATTCACTGTGAAACACTTTTGTAAGTACTTTAAAAACAACAATATGATGTTTTATATCAATTTTCGTCAATATTAGAACCAATAGTTTGGTTGTCGAGTATATAGAAGACATAATTTGTATAAAATTATGTCTGAAATTATGCCAGCAAGTGAAATTGCAAATGATATCGATTTTGATTATTACCCTGAAGTCTAAACAGATTTTTTGGACGAAACTTTGGAATTATTTTAATTCAGTCGATGCGATTAGTTCAAATATAATTTCACACTAATAAGGTATGGTGTTTTGTAAATTTCTTTTAAAGCACTTAGAATTTTTCGATTGTAAAACTACCATATCTAATGATGATAAACTAAGATGTTTGTGAAGGTGACCAATTTCATAAAAATATATCTTATTGACTTATTCGGTTTGTACGACAGAAACTGATGAATTTTTGTCCAACGAAAATATTTCAGAATCCTTGTTCACCTCAGTGATTTTATGTTAAACATCGAGTCCCACGAGTGCTAATCATTCATAACAATCAAATTTTGTCGATTTTGGAATAAGTATTGAGAACAAATACAATAGACTATCTCATACAGTCTCACTTTGAAGTTTTCCTTAAGTTAACTTCATTTTTAAAATATAAAGGTATAATCGTTCATTACATTTTGTGTGTCTAAGCATATAACTCTAATACTCAAGTCGTGTTTTTTGTAAAGTCTGTATCAAGTAACCATTTTAATGTTTAATTATAGTGGTGAATCCCGGAAATACATCACTCGTTTCTCTCTATAATAAACTATTCCTAATCTAGAAACTCTTGCATTTCTATTTTTCGCTTGTTTTTTTCGTTTATAGTCTAACAAACAGTTTAATTTGTAATGTGACGGTGTAGCAATAAACTTATAAATTCAGTGAAACAAATGTTGTTCCAATCCACTGTTATGCTTCACTACTGACAACATTTATATGATTTAAAGCGAATGTCATTACTTTTGAATAACAGAATGTGTATAACTAAAATACTTTGAAAATGAATTTGACTGAGAAGTTGAATCAATAGCAAGTTTCGCGTGAACATAATGGAACATGTTTATGGTCTAAAAACTGAAAACTGAATAATCATACCGTTGCTTTTCTAGTTTATGTGGTCCAAACCCGTCTGTGGGAATGATTAAACCTTTACTATTTACTAATATTCTCTAGTTCCAAATGAATTTTTGTGCTATAAATCTATCTTATTGAGTTGTTCGGTTTCAGGGGTGATTATGAAAACAGTTATAGAGCCTTGTAAATATTTGTGTTTTAATTGACACAAATGTGATTGATTAGACTCGAGATATCACCCTGAAAGCAAAATACCAAGAGCATAGGTTGTTGACGTAGCAAATAATTGGATTTAATGTGTTATTTTGAATTTACCTTCAGAAAAATCAGTTTCCCAGATGATATTAACTTTTTATCATGATGATTTCATTGTCGTTCTGTATATCGTCAGCGATTATTCCATTTGAAAGCTCAGAGCGTGGTGTACGCTTCTTAAGTGGACAGAAATAAGCAGTATGTAGCAGGAATTGGAAGTGGAATGCTTAACAGCAGAATATTAAAATGAAGAGAAAAGGAAGGGGAACATAGAGAAAATGGAATATCAGCATGATTAAAAGAATTGTGGAGTATGTAAAGGACTATTTAAAGAAGATATGTAAATGATGTGTGCCATGTTCTTATGACTGAACAGATCAGTGACGCATAAACCGTTCCGAGCAGTGCAGAGTCAATTCTGAGTTTTCAATGGTCCACCGAGATAATAGCTTCTCACCTAACCCAACCAGTTTAGTCCGGAACACCAATATCAGCCTCTGTTATACAGATGATATATTCCAGATATATTGAGTTTATATACAAACAAACCAGATCGCATCATACCATAAAATAGAAAATAAAAATTATACAAGATCAAGCCGAAAAGTGGCCATGATTTGAGAGACTGATACTAATAAGTTGGTAATATCTTAGGAATGATAAGTCGTATAATAATAGTCAATGGATCAAATATAGGCTCATAATAAGAGGAATATGAATGTGCATATAGTATAGTTACTTAATGGTTATAGAACAAGAATATATATAATTGCGGTCCACAAATAATTACTAGCGGTTACTATCCATTTTCTCCTCGTCCGGACCTAACGATATGTTTAATGCATGATTTTCATACTTTATAAAGACACCTGAGTTTCCATTCACTGCAAGAGGACATAACCAAAAACATACATCTGAACTACAGATCTTAGACATAATGTGTTTTGATTATGAATCCAAACAAATAAAAATATTTGGTTTAAAGTGAGTAAACTGTACTTTATAAGTCTCGGAACGGCAAATAATTGAATTTCATTTCCGTTATATTTTCCTTTAGATGTTCGTGTCAATAAAGTAGTTATTTCATATAGACATTTTACGAACATTAAAAATCTGTAGAAAATGCGTTGCATTGCCGTTTAAAACAAATTATAAACTTGTCATTCAAAAACTTGTGTTGCAGCAAATTGTCAGCTTTTCACTGAAATTATCAGTTGTTTTGATTAGTATTGTCGACTGTGGAATAGATCTTACAAGAACTGTTTATTGTCAAATGGAATAGTAAAATTACTGTTGGCATATTGAAGTCTGAATTCACTGAATTTCTTAAAGTAAATTATCGTAATCCTATAATATAGATTGTTCTAATTATACTCATCTCGAAACTTGAGATTATTAAATTAAATGACACTTTGTGTTGTTATTGTGTTCTATTGATCAATCGCATAACTTAAAGAAATACATACCCAGTACTGCTCAGTATTTTTTTATTTTTGAGTTGATGTCGCTTTATGTTGAATGTTTTGTTTCTAGTAGGTAAAAATGAAAATTCATCTCAAATGATAAATATGAGGATAATGCTTTTCCTTAAGTCGTTTCATTTATCTAATATGAATACCCGAAGAAAAAGACATTACTTTTATTTGAAGAGTGAGTCATTTTCATTTCCCTATTCCACATTCACTGTATAATGTAAATGTTTATTGTTCAAGGCATATTTTATGATTAATTTCTAATTACATTACTGTTTACCTATATACAGCTAAATGTGAAGCATCTTGTTGGCTTGCAATAATTGGAACAATATGTTGCGTAACCTCATCATTTATTGGTGCATTGAGAATGAAGTATTGCAATGTTAAGGAGACGAAAAAGTATAAAACAGCACAATTCATTAATTCAATAGCTGGATGTAAGTTACCTTTTGGTTTTCAGTTTTATATAATGTTATGATTATGTATTAACGATTTTTACATTCGACATATCCCCATTACTGATAAAAGACTCGGATTTCATAAATAAAAAAATAGGCTAAAATTAATGTAGATGTAAAAATACCCTTCCCTACAAATGTAACAGATCGAATCAGCAGATAAAATTCTTGTACTCTGGTCTTATTTCGACTGTAATAAAACAACAATTATAATGTTGCTGATTATGATAAAGTACTAAAGGAAAAAACTGCTAACTATAGTGTTTAAGACTAGGTTGTTAACTAATGAGTCAAACCGCTAGTATGCACTGTTTATTAGGGACAGGAATAAAATATTTTCCATTTTATGTAATTTATCCACTAACCGTTTTTACTTAATGGTGAATCGTGAAATCTTTATCGTTAACCAACAATCTTGAAAATACTATCAGTAGATTACAGTTTATGGATGACTGGAAGATAATATTTATTAACTTACGCTACGATGTTCATGATAAATAATAATAAAGTTAACTTGTTAAGATGGTATCCATGACTCACATTATTATATTTTAAAATGACAGTGAGATGAAAGGATGAAACTTTTGGGATGTGATCATTTTTATGATCCCCAGATAAAGAGTTCCGATACTCAACGCCATTTAATGATTGTCAACATAGTAGGGCCGATTCTTATCTTACTACGAGGACTTTAGTAATGTTGTGTTATAAAACTAATAGTTTAATAGTGAAAGATTCGCTGTTTTCCAAAGAAAATCATTGAAATAGATCTCATAAAGGATTCATCATCGAAATTTCCACATAGCTGATTTCGTAAGCCCATTTCTTTGAAGCTTGTACTGATGATGCTATCTAGAACGATAATGTGAGCTTCATGATCAAACCATTCTGTCAAGAGGAATCAATACTTTCTATTATTAATGCTGTATACATGCTTACAGTAAGCCTGTATAAAAATTAATGCATTAATTTAAATTAATTATCTTCAAGTCTAAAATAATAATGAGACACAGTTGTTTAATCTATTAAAACCTCATTATCTTCCTTGAAACTTTATAACACCAGATTATAAGATAGAGGATAAACAATTAGAAACTGTTGGTTCAATGTTTATTTAATTTGCTGGCTAGATGCAGTGAAATCCAATACTTTTTGTCGGTCATATTAGTTACTAATAGCAAGCATTTTTTATTGTTTTATGTCATAATTAAATTAAGCTTTTCTGTTCAAACCACTGTTAAATTATATAAAATGTAGAGATCATCATACACAAAACACCTTTCCGCTATCCTCTTAATAAAACAGCATGTTTCAAAACAGTACACAATCATTAAGTTTGCAAGAATACTGTATCTATAATGTAAAGAACAGTTTCGGGTATAGTACATTTCAAGTATAATAATGCAGAATTGTGATCTTTGAGGCAATAAACTTGACTTAACTAATTAAACTGGGGATAAAAACGTATATGATTGAATTTTTAAATTATTAAACCCTAAATGTCAAATATTTGGTGGTAAAACAATACATAATTTGTTTCTTAACAAAATCGTTTTGTCTACGTAAATTTGATTAACAGTTATTAATAAAATCTAAGACGAACTCCTCAGCTGGAAATATAACCATTCCAACGTTGATACTCACGGAAAGACAGACTGATTAGTTGAAATCCTTGATAACGACTATGGGAGAAAATGTAATAAGGCAATATAAATAATCCAAATTGTTAGTAATTTTAGCGATATCTAACCTTTGTATCATTTCAAAGTATAAAGATTAGGTAAGAAATACTTCTAATTACACAACTATATTTATTCCAAAGTCTTAATTTTACTTTTTTTGAAATGAGTTAAATGCTGTTTTTATTCTTTTTTTCAGTTATTAGTTTGTTAAGTTCCGTGTCTGTTTGGGCAGATTTTCTTTGTCATCTTCCATATGAACTAAGTACAACTTATCAATTGAATAAATTAACTTTTAATCAACATAAACAACCAATTAAGAACAGGAAAATATTTGTACCTCAAACTGACAATAATCAAACTAATATATTAACAATTTCTTCAATGTTACATCTTTCTCGTAATTATTCTTTATCTAATTGGATAAAATTTAAAAAGGATTTAAATCATCTTGAACATTTACATTATAATGGAAATTATTTATTTGGTTGGGCATATTGGTTTTGTGTAGTATCAGTTATATTTTTATTTTTAAGTAATTTGATTTATTTAATGAGAAAAGATTGTGAAGATGAAAGACCAGTTGAAATTGTTTTCACTTGACAACAAAAACTCTAAAATGTTATCAACTATTGAATCACTATTGAATGTAATAGTTAAATGTGTTATTTAATCTCAAATACAAAAAAAATGAAGTAAATGTGTTAAGTCTTGTTGATCGGACGCTATATTCGTTCTTAAGCTATTTTGATAACCCGCACGCTAGAACTATACAGAGACCTGAACACCAGAAAGAAGACGCAAAGTACGAGAGAAACACTTTACTCCAAGGTTAGTTTATGTACAGAAAACATGGGTATTTATAGATGTTAACGTTTGTTAAATCAGCATCATATTTCGGTAAATCCGTTAACGACATATTATGCTACTGACCAATAGTAGCACGCTACGTTGTAATTCTAAAATGCTTCGTCATGCCCTGATTGGCTAGGACTCTTCGGCTCCTTTTGGACCTCTGAAGGCTCCGTTGAAGTTCTCCGAAAGCAGACTCAACAAAATGATAATAAATAATAAATAATATTTCACTTCAGAGTTTGTTTTCGCTCTTGGTAATTGTAATTTCGGTTCACATGAATTAGGTAATGAATATATAAATAGAATTTTAAAAGTTGAGATCATGAGACAATTGAAGCTAGACCACTATGGACAACCTGGAAGCATTGGACGGCCGTTTCGTCCTACTGTGGGACTCCTCAGCAGCGGATCGTGAATGCGCACTGCTGAATAGTCTCATAGTAGGACGACACGGCCGTCTAATGCTTCTAGGTTGTTGTTTGTTTTAGCACATCATTATGTCTATTGTGCTCACAATTTATTCAGGCGCGTTTATGAAAAGTTTACAACCTTTCGCTATACAGGATACAAAAAGGTACAATCAGCGACATCATGGTGGCCGGCAATATGCATTGAAACGAATGAACATTAATCAAATGTGGATTACCGAACTCCTAACTTCTAACTGGTCATCATTCAAAATTTATCGTCACAATCGATCAAGGTATAAGAAAAGGAAACTTGTTGAAATACTTTATGCTGAGAATTCTATGTTGTACCAAAAATATAATGTTGAATAAAGCTTCTAATAATAATAATGATAATAATAATGATAGTGGTCTGGCTTCAATTGACATATGATATCAACTATTAAAATTACTATAATATCCACAAAAACCCTTTCTGATGTTAATAAAAGTTTTTTTCTTTTTTTAAAGACTTGAAAACATTTAATATTATTTAAGTAGATAGTTAATTTTGAAATAAATTATCATACATGTGTGCGAAATTACTTTTTAGATAAAATATTTCAACTGTATAGGTAATCAAAATTCACTTGGTGTTGTTTACTTGTATTTTCCAATTGTTGCTTTAGAAAGCTTGTGAATTAAGATAATATCTAGACAGACAGGATGCACATATGCCAATAAAAGACTGATCAATTGCAGTCCTAAATAACAATGAGAAGATACAAATAAACAGCATCAAGTGAATTTAAAACTTCACCCCATTGCACAAGCTGGTGGCTATCAGGACTCAGTAGGTAAGTGGTAACGGGATGGCGCTTGTACCGGGTACGAGTCCCAGGGTGAACATCAACTCTGAGATGCAACTGCTTCCGGTTGACGAGTTTTAAGTAGGACGAAACGTGCGTCCTGAATTCCATTGCTAGCCATTATCCATCTTTGCTTGTATAGTCAATCGTTTGTGGAGAACATTGACGATAATGAACGTGACTTTAGAAAAGTATTATATTCATAACAAATCAGATACGAAATAAAGTTAAACAGTTCCTAATCGAGTTTATCAGCATTTAATTCCAGCAAAAAGGGTTAAGAAAAGCATGCCTGATTTCGATATTCTTCATTTAATGGTAAGCATCATTTATTTTCCATCTCAAAACTATTCACAGAAATGCTGATGATCAGCATTGATAAGAAGGAAAGAATTTGAGAATGGTTTGACATTTACATCTGTCCAGATGCAAAACTTCACCATGGTGTTTCAAGCCAAAATGTATTCTGTAGATGATAAGCCTCGACTAAGAGAGTTATTCTGTATAAAACACAAATTCAGAAAGATTTTCAAGTGACAACCAATCACTCGGCTAATTAAGAACAATAAAATTAATCATTCAATAATCTAATGACTTTAACATAGGTGTGAATGTATATTTTGACTTCAGATTAGTTTAGGATTACTGACAAAGTAATGAAAAGTAGAGTTTCAATCATAACTTGATTTTCATCCTTGTGAAACGTGATTAGAATGTAATAGAAATGATAACCGTTCTAAAATACCTTTGAATAAGTGAGATACATAAATTGATGCAGTAGTATTCAGGAATTTCATGAAAACATATTGAGAATACATTACAACTGCCATAAAGAGAATAAAGTTTCTCTCATTTATTATGACAATCTGATCAAAGTGTCACTACATTAATCTGTGAATAAGGTCACATTTTAGTGGCTTCTCGTATAAAATAATAAGATCCCGAATTAAAAGATTATTCAATTGGTCAAGACCTTTTATCATTAAGTCAACTTATTAAACCCTAAATGGGATTATCAATATTGACAGACATATTTAGTTCTGTTAACCACATCTCGTTTACAAACGAGAGAACGTCGAAATGATTAGATAACTAAGAAGCTCCTGTTCTCATCCTCTGTTCCCTAAAGATACTTGGAATATTTTCGATAATGTCTGATTTCTGTTTAGTGATGAAATTTCGGAGTACGTTTTGTTATATTTAACTTTCATCTCTATTATTATAATCTAAATTTCAGTATCATTCAATAATCACTTCCGATTAAACATTTCATATAATACACCAGCTTTCTACTCATCAGGTATAAATCCGTTCGCGGAATACAGGGGCAACAAATCAAATCGATCTTTATTAACACACATATTTCTTAATAATCAGAGTTTGATAAGGAAACAGTCAAAAATAATTTACATAATGAGCAAATTATGTTGTAAATAATCAACTTATTTTAAGCATTTATTGATGAAGTGAATGAACTTTGATATAGGTGAAGTTTTTAGCTATAAAATGTAAATCAATAGAATTAGATATTAATTCGGGATACATAGATCTTGATGAACTTGTAACTATCCTCTCTCAACTTATTATTTTTTTATGGCATATAAAATTGTTTAAGTGAACCTTATCATGTTTTCTCTGTCTACTCACTGTGGCTTAGACTTTTGATTCATCGTGTATATACGTGTAAAAGTGACTGAATTCATGTCTGTATTTAATTTTTAACCATTCCCTCATTGGTTGTAAACACGATTAGTCAATAATTTTATTAGAATGGGTTTTGTGGAGATTTTAGAAATTTCACAGATTGAAATCATGAGTCAGTTGAAGCTCGACCACCATTGAAAACCTGGAAGCACTGGACGGCCGTTTCGTCCTAGTATGGGACTCCTCAGCAGTGCGCATCCACGAACCCGCACCACTCGGGGCCCGAACCCAGGACCTACTGGATTCGCGCGCGAGCACTTAACCACTAGACCACTGAGCCGGCATCCAACGGTGTTAATGTCTAACTTTAACCAATCCACGAAGTTGAACCACCGTACACCATTGTCTTCAGTGAGTTCCTATCTCACAACAGACCTGGTTGAACTCCACTGGTCGAGCTTCAACTGACTCATGATTTCAATCTGTGAAATAATTTTATTCATTCATCAATTTCCACTGATACTAGAAAAAAGCATGTTCATACACATACATTCTTTCTCTTCTCTCACCACTGTGCTCGTTTGATCCAACTGATTATTAATGAACGCCTCAACAAAACTCCTATTCTTACTTCTGAATATTCTCAAGGAAATTAACGACAACACCTAGCCAGAGAATAAATACTTGGTTAAATGGGTTGGTAAAATTTGTGGTCAATCAAGGGAACTAACCTTAACAAACTAGTGACCCTGATGTGAAAACTTCAGGGATATATCAATGAGCTATGTATCAGTAGAAATTTAAAAAGATCTGTAATATAATGTCCTTACTATAAATGCTGAAAATATCACAGGAGCATATAAGACTTATTATTCTCAAAGCGGCAGGTCACGATGAGGAAGATGAGTAAAAATTATTGGATTAAGGTTACTGTGAGGTTTTCGTAGCTTACCTGGATTTACTTAAAATTTCGTAACTTCAGCTGAATATTCTGAACAGTTTGAATTTCTAGGCAAACATACTTGACAAACAGAAGAAATATAGTCTCACTCTAGCTAATTTTACACAGTGATCGAATTTCGGCATATTTTCTACGATATTATGGTACATAGATCCATACCGTATAGATAAGAGCTCAAATTATGCCAAGTACCTATGACTGAAAGTCCAATATGCCCAATGCTTTGACAACTACGATCCAGAGTTGTTTATGCTAAATTTTATTTTTGTAGATCACAGTGGATGCAACTAATTGTCCACCTAAAAACAAATTTATGTTAATTTCTTGAGATGTTTTTCCTTATGCTCTCCGATTTTGTCGATTGATTACCGAACGTTAAAGATACGTTCAATCCTTTATTGAGACGTTTGTTTGCTTAGCGTAGTGAAAAAAACGATAAGAAAATCAAATATGTTTAGATACTCTCAGATAATGAACAGAGTTTATTAAGCTATAATAGTCAATAATGTTATTAATTTCATTGAGATTTTTTCTGACTATCAAATGCCACGTATGGTATATGACATTATAGAGAACACTTATTACTTTATTCAAGCAACGAGGATAATTAGATATTGAATGTTAGGAAACACCAGTTATTTAATATATAACAATTAGAATTAAAGATCAGTATCTTTTCGGCATTTTTTGGATGAAGTTCAGTTTAACGATTCTTCTGCTTGTAATGTTTTTATCTATTATTCATAATGTTATTTATGTTCGTTAAATTCCATATGAAAATACAATACACAATAAGGAGAAACTGACGTGAAATATTGTCTACGATAATGCGAATACAGGAATACTTCAGTAATAAACATAATAATCTGAATGAAAAGTAGCTAGATTAGAAAGAATATAAGGCCCTTGCTTGGGTAAAAAATCCTTCTTTCAGGATTCAGAAATGGATAAGATCATCTGTATGACACTAA